AAGATGCTTCATTTCTTTCGACATCACCGTCTAAATGTATTTCAGCAACTAATATTCAAGAGAAATAATTTTTCATATTCTCATATCAAGAATTACAAATTTAAATTTTGTAAGATTTGACATATTTATAACTAACACATAAAATATTAATAATAATTATATTTCATGTATGGGACTATAAAATCAATATAACAATATTAAATATTAAAAAAATAATCAAATATAAATAATAATCATCATAATAATAATATTAATTATAATAATAAAAAATAATAAGACAAAAATGAAAATTGGTAAAGTTTAACCATTCTTAAAAAAATTAAGAATATAAGATAATATTATAAATAAAAAAATGATTAGAAAGAGTTTAGGCTAAAGTACGCAAATTATTGTCCTTAAAGAAAAAAATGTCACTATTAGATTATTAGATTATCATATTGATAACAAGTTATAAAATAAAATTGATAATAAAGAGATAAAAAGAAAGAAGACAACAATCTAAGGCTTAGTTCGCATGAACGGAATTTAGTGTTCATGCGAATTTGCGAGCGAAGAATTCAGCTCGTTATGCGTTCGTTTGGAGTGAAATGCGCGGACGGATTTGCGATGAAATGCGGGATGGTTGCACTGTTCAGTCACACGCAGTTGTGAAGAGATTTGCGCGGATTGTGAGCGAAATGTCGAGTGTGCCCTCGGTTAAGAAACGCTAGAAACGCGTAACCGGTTACATGTTCGCGTAATCGGTTACGCGTTCGCGTAACCGGTTACGCGATTTCCTATTTATTTTTTTTTCAAGTTTTTTTATAATTATTTTAATATTAATAAAATTAGATATATTATGTTTTTTAATTTATTTTTAATAAATTGATTATTATATTTTCTAATTTTTTTAATAAATTGATTATTATATTTTCTAATTTATTTTTAATAAATTGATTATTATATTTTCTAATTTATTTTTAATAAATTGATTATTTAGTATTCTAATTTATTAAAAAAATTGATTACTTAGTTTTTAAAATTTTTAAACATTAATTTTATAAATTATTCATAATTTTTTTTTCTTTATAAACATTTTTACAATTAAATATAACATTTATAAATAACATTTTATAACTAGGGACATTTTGGTAATCTTCAATTTATATCAATTAAACTAATTTTTAAAATCTATCACATCAATCAAATCCTACACTAATTTTCACAAACTTTACTTCCAAATCCACTCTCAATTACCCACAAATCCACTCAAAAAAACAACAAAAAAAATTACCCTCAAATCCACTCAAATCCATTCAAATCATCTCCCCCAAATCATCTCCTCCAAATCATCTCCTCCAAATCACTCCAAACGAACACACCCTAAGAGATATTTGAAACTATTTTTTATATCTTATTTCTTAAAGAAAAAACTATATTCATAACTCCGAAGATACAACCCAATGATTACAAATAGTTAATACAAATAACTAAATCAATCGTACCAGTGTAAATCAATTATAACAACCCATTAAAAAATCATTTATGTATGAGAACAAGTATATTTTTACTGATTTTTCTTTTATAATTTTATTACTAATAATTATAAAATTAAATAAAGAAAAATATGAATAAAAGACGTATTGTGTCAAATCATACAATTTTTAATATTTTTAATTAATATGATTTAACAAAAACTGATGTTTATTTATTTACACGCGTAAGTTTTGTAAAGATGTTCCATGCTAAATATCATTATTATTTTTAAAATTATTATATCATATAGTTAAATAAAATTTGGTATCCGCTAATATTTGTTATCTTATATTAAGTTATTTTAGCTTTCCAACTAATTTTGAAAAAAAAAAATAGAATTTAAAAGCGGTATTAAATCAACTTCCAAATATTCAAATGATTTTCTTTTAAATATATAAATTTGTATTTCAATCCAGTTATTTAAATTTGGATATATAAAAAAGTATTCTATTTTTTTTTTCAAAATGTGAATTCAAACTTACTTTCAATCTATATTATTTGGATTTATATGATTGATCTACTAATAGAAAAGATCCAATTTTAAGAATTTTTTTTTGCATCACTACCTCAAACATTGATAAAGTGTGAGAAGTGCATTCTATTTTTGTTTGGTTTAATAATAGTGATGAGTGAAGTTGATTATTGATATGATGAAGCAGTTGGAATATGAACTTTCCATGCTATTTGTGTGTGCAAATACAGAAATGTAAAATCAAAAGCAGTTGAAAAGTTGGCTTAAAAGTAAGAGAACAACCAAAAGCAAAAGGTGTAGCAGTTCAAAATATTGACCTTTTACATGTTGAGATTTTTAAAAACAAATTGAGATTTTTATGGACAACGTAATAAAAGTTTGAAGACAATAGTAATTTTGAATTAATAAACAAAAACAATAATATTAAGATATTTTGAATTATTTATATAAAATCAATATTCTTCAATCAGATGAAAGAATGACCCGATAATTTTCCATGGAAATGATAATTTCATTTTTCTCAATTTGAAAATTTTGTATACCTGTATTTATATTATATTCTTGTATAAATAATAGTTTATTTTGTGTATTGCTGATGAAAATTTTCTTCTAGATGTCCATGCCTTTTGAAAGTGGAATTGTCTTTATATACATAATTTAACCTAACTTTTATTATTATTGTCCTTTTGAGAAGTTGCGCACTAAGAAGGACTTGCAACCTATGGTTCAACCACTCCCTTAATAAATTAAATACGAGTTTAATTAAATTTTTGAATTAAATATATTTTTATTTTTATGTAAGATATATATTTTGATATATTTTTATTTTTAAATTTAAAAATGAATAAATATATATTTTTTAAATTAATTTTATTAAATTTTGTTGACGAATTAAATTTTTTTATGTTAGTATTTGAAACTGTTTGATATATTCTCAATTTAAATATTAATTTAAAAATATATTTGGCACTTAAAAATTAACTTAATCTAATTAAATTAAAAGAAATAGATTTTTTTTAAGTTTTAGAGATAAATTCTGATTTTAAGTAAATATTGAAGAAATAAAAATATATTTAACCTAAATTTTAAATATTTATAATTTTTGATATTTTTAAGTATGATTTTATTAAGTTTCAAAAAAAATTATTTGAATATATAATAAAAAAAATTATGATATGTTAAAGTAGACCTAATATTTATATTGTAGACTGTTCCATGGGTGTTTGAGATGTGTTTCTACCAACAACGTGAGACCTAAACCAAACAGCGTACAATGGACGCTGATTATTTTTCACGTCAAAACAAAAGTTATGTTAATATTGGAATTTCTTAACCCTTTTGTCATTGTTTCTCAAAATTCACTAAATTCAAAACCTGTCATTAACGACATCTAGAATGTGAAGAATGCTTCAGCAAAAAAGAAGTCATTGATTGTCAAAACCACTCATTATTTATCTTACTAAATGCATTATTTCTCCTTTTCATATTATCAAATTTAATCAAACATTTCTTTTACGTAAAATAATAATAAATATAAATTCTCAACCTTAAATATATGTAATATATGTTAAATTAAATTTTAAATCCATAGTATAATTAAGTATTATGAATCGATTCTCTAATTCTTTTTCCCTATGAGATACTTAGAAATTTGTATAAGTATTTGTGACTACCAACACAATAAGTAGTTTTTTTATTACTTTAATATTATTTATATAATTACAAAATCACTTACACTACTCCTTAATATATGATGGCAATGAAATAAGATGGCAAGATAATATTATATTTACGTTATTTAATTAATAAAAAAAAATTAGTATCGAAATTTAAATAAAATCATACAAAGTTATAAAAGATATAAAACTTTTATTAAGTTTATAATCTAAAAATATTAAAATGTTAATATATTTTTTTTGTGAAGATTCAGTGTGTTTATCTGTTGTTAAGATTGTAAACTATTATCTTACAATTAATTAAAATTTTATACTTTAAGAATATGTAATTTTACCAGAAGGAATAAAAAAAACTAATTAGGGTAGTTTAAATAAACACACAATTGTATTTTATTTTACTCCTCATCTGTTAATTTTATTATTTAAAAATATTAAATACTTTAAAAAACTTAAGGCGTTTAATACATCTATATACATATGTTTAATATTTTCTTCGTATAAATTTATTTATTGCCTTTTCGTTTTATTGTTTGTTTAATAGAAAAATATTAAAGGCTATATTAAAAACGTGAAGACTTTAATATTTAAATATTTCTTAGTTAATGCTCTTTAATATCTTATTTAATTAATCTTTAATTTCTGGTTACCATCTTGACAGATGGGTCTTGTAGATGTAATTTTTTTTTCTACAATCAATTGGTAGAAACAAAATCTTTTATGGTAGTTATTATTCAGGTAAAGCCATAACTCTTAATTAAGAAAAACGTAAACGGTTAAATATTTAGATAGAAAACAATAATTACACCAATTTTATTTATATTATTAGTCAATGTAAATCACATCAAACACTCTTAAAATTTTGCAGAATTATATGGTTATTTTATATTATCTGAATTGGTTACAATATATGAATTTGGTTACTCAAGGGAAAAGAATGTAATTTAGAATATGAGTTAAAATTTTAAGTGTAAATCCAATTTTTACATTAAATAAATATAAGAAAAGAAAACATTATATAAAGATGAAAACTTATTTATTTATTATTTTAAAATTTTGGATAGAGAATGATACTGACTTCAAATTTTAATAACATTGTATCTCTCCAATAATCTTCTACTCGATAAAGCCAATTTAATCTTTCCAAAATAAGTAATAAATCAAATATATAGTTTATTATAAGAGTTGATTTTATATTATAATCGATGGTTATTAATATAGTTTATTGTCAGTCAATTAAAAATATTATCGTTGAAATAAAGAATTTATACAAATTTGACGAAACTGCACGCATGATACAGTCAATTATTTATGGTCTGTTATTATTGCAGTGTCCTTTGTTTTTGTTTTCATACACACTTATCACACTTCTCTTCTCTCCTCACATTGCTCTGTTGTGAAGATCTTCTGGGTTCTTCTGAATTATTGTCTTCTTGTGAAGAACAAGTCCATGCTTTTACCTAACCAACGACAACCATAGAATGAATGAAAACATAGTTTATGTTTAAAGGTTCTGCTTCTGTTATGTGTCTGTGTTTATGTTGTGTACTTATTATGTTTCTTTGATGGATCTGTTGTCACAAGGAGAAAAAAATTGTTTGTGTGATTCATGTGCTTCTTATTAATTTATTCTTGCTGTGTGTGGTTTTGTTTTCTTCATTCCTAGAGATAGGAATTGGCTGTGAAAAACAATAACTTTTTCCAAGGAATCTTCGGTTGCCATGTTTCATCGTTGGAGCAGTTCCCCTCAGCAAGACCAAGAAAGCAGCGAGCTTCATGCTGAATCAAAGGTGTGTTGCTTTTTGTTTCGTGATGTTATGTTTTGTTTTGGAGAAGTTTAGGTTGGTTGAATCTCGTGTTCCAGAGGTTCATACATGAAGAGACTTTAGGGATCACAGACAACCCTGTGTTTCTGGTGTTTTGTTGAGTAAGAATGTTGTTGCTGATTATGCGTGTTCAAAATTCTGCAAGCAGATCAAGGAGCTGAAGGGTGCAATTGGACCCTTATCAGGTCACGGTTTGGTATATTGCACTGATGCATGTTTGAAGAGATATTTGGAAGCTCGAAACTGGAATGTAGACAAGTCCAAGAAGATGTTGGGGGAGACTCTGAAGTGGAGATCAACATATAAACCAGAGGAAATTCGCTGGGTAAGTTCTGGCTTAGCTTCTACTTTCCAAATTTGAGTGGAATCCAATATTGGTTAGTGAATTAACAAATAATCATTCTGGTTTTTCAAATTTGAAAAGGAAAAGAGCCCTTAATTTAGTGCTTAGGATCTGAAAACTTTGACAACTTTTAAGAGTCTGAAATATATATATCTTTTTTTTTAAGTTAGGGAGACCGAAATTGGATTCATCTGAAATCAGAAGAACTAAAAACATAATAAAGTCGTTTGGGATATTTTGGTATATAGATGTGATCTAAATGCCTTATGGTAATGTTATTTGTCAGCAAGAGGTTGCAATGGAAGGGGAGACTGGGAAATTGTATAGAGCAAGCTTTCGTGATAGACAAGGAAGAACTGTTCTTATTCTGAGACCAGGAATGCAGGTATAATGGTTTGGATGTGGAGATATTTAGTTAATCGGTTTCAGGTTAAACTATTCACTTTGTTCATATAATTATCATTTACTAGAAAAACACCAACTTCAAAAACAACTACAAATTTGAGGGTGATAAAAAAATCTATTCAGACTAAAACTCAGAATGATATGATACTTATAGGAACCAATTGAACAGTTTTGACCTTGGTTAAGCTATTATTTCTCAGAGCTTGGTGTCTGTAGAATCTGATACTTTTTATGTGTTGCGTGTAGAACACTACTTCAATGGAGAATCAGATGCGGCATTTTGTGTATATGTTGGAAAACGCCTTGCTTGACCTTCCACCGGGTCAAGAACAAATGGCATGGTTGATAGACTTCACTGGCTGGTCAATAACCAACAATGTGCCCTTGAAATCAGCCAGAGAGACCATCAACATTTTGCAGAATCATTACCCTGAGAGACTTGCCATAGCATTTCTTTACAACCCCCCTCGAGTTTTTGAAGCCTTTTGGAAGGTTTGTGACTTTGTTTTTAGTCATGTCATTACTTTAGTGCGGTTGGCAATAATACTGATTCCATTAATGTTATGCTTCTATTGATGCAGATAGTTAAGTACTTCTTGGATAGCAAGACATTTCAGAAGGTGAAGTTTGTGTACCCAAAGAACAAAGATAGTGTGGAGCTCATGAAGTCCTACTTTGATGAGGAAAACCTTCCCAAAGAACTAGGTGGAAAAAGCACAATGCGTTATAACCACGAGGAGTTCTCCAGACTAATGCTTCAGGATGACTTGAAATGCGCAGCATTTTGGGGGCCTGATGAGAAGCTCTCAAACCACATTGCTAATGGGCATTCTGCTGCAGTTTTCGATGAAACTTCACCTGACGTATGTTAAGCTCAGTTTAGATTACCATCTGGGATGGTGAAGGTCCATTGGGAGAAGCATGCTCTTTGTTTAATTTTGGATTATGAGTAATTTTTGAAGGGTTGGTAGGGTAATCCAACCATACACATAGTTTTAGTGCAGAAGATATGAATACTATTCATTATACAGTCATCAGCTCAGGAAAATTAGGACTAAGGTGTATCCCCAGTTTAGTTAATTACTGATAAGAGGGATTTAGAGTATATCTAGAAGTTATTTACTGCATAACAGTTCCATGTGATATGATATGATAAACTTGTTCCTAATCTAGCAGATGTATATCTCAAGCAGAGAGACTTTTGATAACCTGACAATGAAAATACTGTTGTTCAAAAGAACTAACTATTCAACTACACAAATTTCAAACATCGTCCATTTACTGCTACACAATTTTCTGACCATTTACATGAAAACGCTTGTGCCACCAACAGCCTATATGAACTACCAAACAATCACACGATGGATGTCATTTGATGGTGGTGACAAAATTTGAAACAAGAACATTCTGTTTAAAGGCTTATGAAAGGGGAATGAGTGTACAAAAAAGGGGGGGGAAATATCACTGATAGTTTCTTGCCTTTTACCTAAAGAGCATAGATATTCAAACTCATTAGGGGTCATATGAACCTCCTTTTAAAATTACGAGTAGTTGTTTGGTATGAGCGTACTAACAAGCTAACCCCTATTCCAACTCCTACACAGATGCCAAGTCCAATTCCAACACCAACACGTACCCCAGCATTGAACCATGATAGTTCACCATCTTCACCGTCTGCATACGCTGTTCTTTGCCAATACATGCTGTTGTAATCCTCTTCTTGTTCCGTTTTGAAGCTTCTTCTGTAGTCAACATGCTATAAAGCAAAAACAAGGGGAGGTTATCACTAGCTATGAATTTGGATGCAATATCAGGACAAATTAAGGGGTAAATAACTCACATGTAACAAGTATAATGTTTTACATGATCAAAAGATCTGTTCAAATGGAATTCTTACAACATTCAAAGAAAATCAAGGCATGGATCAATGCATGCATAGTAAATGTTGCGAAGAAGATGAAACCATAATGAAAAACCAAGCTCTAAATGCAGATGCTCAGAATTAACGTGGTTGTGTCATAAAAGAAAGGGAAGGCTGAATGAATGTTCCGGTGTAATTTGACAAGTCTTTTTCTCAATCCAATTTAGAAGTTTACACCATGTAGATGTGTACTGCTTTCGAGTTTAGGCAAGAATATAAGCTAAAAAAGAAAAGTTACTGTTAAAAAACATCAATCTTTTGGTTAAAATAATCTTTTTGTTGTCTCATCTTCTATTTATTTAATTGGTATTATGGTGTTTTACATAGGAGAGATTAAATTAGATAAAGTTTGATACAAGCAAAAGAGAGAACTAGAGACATAACATGTGCAAATCATGTCAAGCATCTATCCACTAGGCGGCATTTGACAAAATCATTTAATGGTTATGTTGAAACGTGAATATACTTTTCTTATACAATCAGAGGTATAAATATGAATGAGATTAATTCTGTTCTGTACATTAGTATTCCCATAAATGTTATAGCTAAAAACGGAAAGAAGACAATACAACATATTCTAGTTATTAACTGCATAATTCAGATCACATTGATTCTTATAGATTTCAAGAGATCAAATTCCTTGATCATGATTGCTTTCCTTAATTACCAACCATAATTCTAGATCAGGATCCAACACATGGTCATTTAAAAATTAAATCTTTTGTCTCCTCGGAGTTTTGAGAATGAACCGTAAATATGTGACCATGATATCACATTTCTTGTGTTCTTTTTCCAAATGAACAGCATACCAGTAACATTATCTTTAAGCACACATACAGAATTACAGATATACAGAGTCCTTAGAAAGACTCTGTCGGACCTCACTAAGAATTGTCCTTAGGAAAGACTCTTTTTGTAATGCAAGGAACATCGGAGAATAAAAAACAGAAAAATAATGAAGTTTATCAGTTGTTCCCACAAATAATAAAAAATAGTTTATTTGTGACTTGTGGCTGCCCATATCCAGCAAAGTTAGTTTATTCATAGAACCTCATTTATGCGAAATTTTCTATATTATACAGAGATTGTGTCATTTATATGAAATCTTAATCCAAGAAAAACAAAGAATTCAAAACATGATGCCCAAAAATTTACAGTTCTTTTACCTGCAAATCATGTCCATGATCAGATACATCTTTGTGACTTTCAGTAGTTTCGTATTCTGGAATGGCATCCAAGGCAGATTTCCTGTTATGCTTCTTTCGGCAATTGAGTTGCAGTGTCTTGGTTAAGATTATAGGTGTTCCTGAGAAGCTGCCAGTGACATAAACCTCAATTTCAGGGCAAGAAAATTCAGTTACAGAAACATATTTTCCCTTGAAGAAGCCACAGCCAGGTGCCATTTCTGTTTGGCAACTCATACTCCATTTCTTGACACTAGTTTTTGATTCCCCAACAAAACCATTGGTATTAGACATCTCCAGAACCCCAGAGAGAATACAAAGCTCCTTATCATAAACCTCAAACTTCATGCTCCCAGTAAAACGTATACTATCTGTATTAACAAAGGTAGCTTCCTCGGATTTCTTATCCACTCTGTCCCTTCTCAGAACTGAAGACTCTGCATCACAGTAAATGCTGCTCCTAACACCATTCACCTCCAGAAGGGTATCAGGACTGAGAGGAATATGATGGAGAGAGAGAAATTCCGGGGTGGATTCATCAACCTGAATTCCACTCACTCTCACATAAAACACTCTCAGATCGAACCAAGGTGAGGGTATCATCATGTTGAAAGGTTTATAAGGAGAGTATTCAATGATCTGAAGGTTTCTGTTACCAGCTTCTCCATTGCGTGACGATGAATCATAAGATCCTTCCATATCCACTCACTTCAAAAACCCTCTTGTGACTGAAAGCATCCTTGGAAATGGAAGAACCATCAAAGTCTACACCAGATTTCCAACTGAAACCTGCTTCACAATCAGCCAAATCCTTGGAGTCATCAGACAATTGAACCAACACGTGGTGAACAAAATATAACAAAAACCAAAACTGAAGCACACATACGGCAAAACATGGTATGAAGTTAAAATTCAAAGAGACATGAGTTAGAAATAAAGAAAAATAGAAGGGAAGAAGAAGTTGAGAGTGAAGGTGGAAACTAAATCATTACTCTGAGTAGAAAAAAACAGCAAGTTTTGAGTTAGAACAAAAGAGGAAGAAAGAAGGTGATGAATATAGCAAATAACACAGACATCCCATCTTTGTTAGTAATAGCCAAATCCGTGTTCATATCAGAAGGAGCATAACCACAAACAAATTCAAAATCCCTCTTTTTCCGCAGTTAAACTCTTACCACGAAAAATATTACATCCCAATCTCAAATCATGATCTAGCATCATCCTAAGCCACTCATGCTTTAGATGCAATCAAATTCTAAAACCAAAGTACCTGTCAGATCGTTTTCCACCTTTTCATACAAATCATCTATGTTCTGCCCCGTGGTTTTTGCATACTTATAGTAATAATACTAATCATAAGGATAATCATAATAATAATAATAATAATAATAATAATAATATCTGGCAAGAGTTCTTTACAAGCATATGATGCAAACAGTGTCAGTATCTTAAGTTAATCAGAAATTATAATAAACTGTGATGTGCAGAAAATAAGGATATTATTTAAGATTATACTTTAATCCACATTTTTCTCGAGTTAATAAGAAATTATTGTTACAATATACAAACATGACATTTTGTGATAATACGGTGGAAAATAATATGATTGAGCTTTCAAAAACTCAATAAAATAAAGCTTATATAGATTTGAAGTTTACGACAAATTTATATATTTTTACTTTTTTAATATTCAATAGATAAAAAATAATAATAATTCAATTAAAGATAACTAAAGTTATCGTAAAGCTTTAACTCTGAATGAAATATGAATAATTATAATTGTTTATTAAAAATAGAAAAGTATTTGTTACTTAAGTTATTTGAAAATATGAAAGGAGAGAAATAGGGTTGTGAGACGTGGTTCATCTTATCCGATAAAATCAGATAAATACGAAGAAAATAAAGATGTTGGTTGTCAAAAGGTCAAAGTGATGTGATGTGATTGTTTGGCCAAGTCTTTAAACCTTAGTTTAACCTAATTAAATTTGGATCAATCTTTATTAAACTATGCTTCGATTATCAAATATTTAATACAAAATTAATATTTAAAATAAGTATTTTATTTTTATAAAAGAGACTTCCGGATTTTTTGTTCTGGAAATCTTTCAAAGTAAGTTTTTTTTTTTTTTAAATTTTCAAACCATGACTTTTGGGACACTACTTCTGAATTTTTAGAAAAAGAATTAAGGGAGTTTTCAAAATGAGTTTTCTAAAACGAGTTGTTTAGAACAAAATTTTCAAACAACATAAATAATACCTTTCAAAACGAGTTTTGTTAGAATATATATTATTCAAAGTCCCATATTTATCAAAAAATAAAATTAATTTATATATATATATATATGCACACCTTATCGTATAAATAAGTTTTATATAGTTAAATTAGATTTAAAATTAACTTTTTAACATAATTTTAAAGTTAAATTATAATTTATTTTAATAAGATTTTTGTTTATTGAACATATTATTATTTTAAATTGAATTAGGTTTAAAATCCTGATAATTTTCATAATAAATTTTTCTAAAAATGAATTCTCTCTTATTCTTTCTCTTAAAGAGTACAGTGGAGGAAGGATATTTTATTATTATTTTTCTAATAGTATAGGTGTAGTTAGTAATAATGGGCATGCAATAAGAAAACACCTAATACTGTCAGTGCTCATTTTTCCGAAGTTTTGAGGCGAAAATCATGTTGTTGGATTTTCACTTTGGGCCCATGGAAAGCCCAACGGCCCACTATTAATTGCTGAACGAATTGTAGCTTTCTCTTAGGTATTGTAAGGATTAGTAATTTTTAAAAAACTAATAAATAAAAAAAGCACAAGATAATATTTTTTAGGGTAACATGCTATAGATAAGTTATCAACCAATACAAAATTGTTTAGTCCCTTTTAATAGTTTATTTTTCCAAAAATGTTTTTATATATATAAAGATAAAACTGAGACATTATTCAACAAAAGTGACTGTAATCCAACTTTAATCAACGAGATACTAATAAAATATAGGTTTAATAGGTTCGGAGGTCCCATATTTGCGGGTTCGTTTCACTTGGGTCCTCCAATTTTAGAAGTGATCAATTAGGTCCCTAATTTAACAAAATTGAGTCAATAATACCCTTTCCGTTAAATGCAAGGGAATCTGAATGCAAATTAAACAAGTGGCATGCTAAGGCATCATTTTATTTGCAGGTGGTAGAGTTTGAGCTTAATACGTGGCAATTTCTGCAATTTTTAATTTGCATTCAGATTCCCTTGCATTTAACGGAAATTTCTTAAACTTGTATTATTAACTATAGACTATAGTTAGTTCGGTGATTAAAATAGAAAACGTTAACTAGTATAATTAAGACAACAATAAATATTTTAAATTGAGACAGATATATATATTTTGGACACATAATTTAATATATTAAAGTATATTATTTTAATACTTAAACAATTTAAATTATAAAACATGTCATAAAATCTATATAATAAAACCATAAATTTAGCACTACTTATCTGCAACATCAATTTAGAAGGTATGTGTTGTGACGTATTCATGTGTCGACATTTATCTTTCAAATACAATAAAACAAAACAAGAGAAAGCAAATGTTTCAAATCATGTTACTTTACTCAGATAGATCCAAAATTATTTTAAATATTTAATTTGAAAAAAAAATGTTCTGTTAATATTCATGTTTCAGTCCGATAACAACAACTTGTCATTATTCATATTGCCACAAAATTCCATTTAAATATGAAATTAAGAACTAAGTTCAGATTATTCCTTCCTAAATATAGTTAAGATGATATTAATCGTCACATCAAGCATAACCATTCTAATTACTATTATATTTTATTTCTTTCATCAAAATATAACTTATATAAAGAACATTGGTTTTCCTAAATATAATTATGAACTTTTATTATACATATTATCTTACTCATTACTCGTAAAACTAAAACATTATGTTCAATATAAACTTTAAAGATAATAATTATGAGTTTGTTTTTCTTATCAATTTATACATAACATCAAATTTAATTCACATTTGACTTAACTACT